CAACGTCTCTGGCAAGCCAAGCTTAAAGTGTTTAATGTGGTGTTTTTCCATGCCGTTTTGGGGTAATATACTTAACAAAAGCGTAATCGTAATTAATTTTAAACACAGATAACAACCCGCTTAATACATATCAATATTCATTGTTTTTTTTTTATAAATTTACACAAGAAAAACACATTGTAAAATGTATATGTTAAACAAAATGTTTAAATGGGAGGGCAAACGAGCATCCTCCCTAGAATTAGCAGGTTTGAGTTGCAGTAACCTCATTCAATTAATGAAAGCAACAAAAAATGCTTAACACCGGTTTTTAGTGATACCGTGGTATCACTTCGGTCGTACCTACCCATTTGTTACGAAGCATGGTTCTCCCACCGTTACAACTAAAATTTGTAAGCTAGTAAAATAACAAATACTGTATATTTACTGCATCACTGTGAAGATACGGAATGTCACCACCCCCGTTCATCACGTGGGTGTCTTAAGAGTCGACTAAGCAAACAACGCAGGACAACAGCACTACCAAGAGAAGAAAAACTTGAAACAAATACTCTTTTTTTACCTGTGGAAATCCCCTCGGGCCGTCACCCCACCCAATCGGACCGACTAAAACCACACGTTGTGCCACTCTGAGCCTGTATTAAGAGGGTTCCGGAACTGCTGTTATTAAGACAACGGCGCGGGCACCACCTTCGGGTACATTCTCTTATGCGGTTATGGCGGGTGGAGGGAGAAACCCGTCCCGTCCACCCGCGGCCACACCCAGGGCGGCATGAGACGGTTGTAAGCGTGCCTCCGCCGCCCGGTTCGCCGGCGACGGATCGGTAGCGAGAGATCCCCCCCAATGACTGCAATCGCAGTGGTGACAGGCGGGTCTCAATTTCCTCCTAACGACCGAGTGCAGGTACTTACCGAAGCAGCCGTGCCCGGAAAGGACCTGCGTCAGTCGGAAGGAAAGGGTCCCATGCTGCCGCCCTGCCTACTCGACGAAGTCGCCCTAGGGCAGATGCAGCGCCGACAAGCTTTTGAGCAAGCCGTCGGAAGTGCTCGTCGAAGAGCCACCTCCCGTCAAGAATAAGGCCCAGATGCTTCATCTGGGCCTGAACCGGTACGAGGACCGAATCGACCACGATGGAGGCGGCAGGGGCAAACCACGACGGGGCCCATGGAACAAGAGCGCCTCCGTCTTATCCAGGGGTTAAACAAATACCCTATACCAACCTGTCTGGCCAGCGTGGTATAGTAGGCCAAAATCTCCTTTCTAAGGAGAGTTCTATGTCCAGCAATGGACTATTAAATGCTGTTGATGATGATGATGATTTACTATATAATATTAAGTTTTACCATTAATCAACCTTTTAATTCTACAAAGTTCTAATAAATTAAAGAGTTAAGATGATAATTAACACTGTCCATAGCAGCAGTAGCAGACTCTCTCTCTTAAACTCATGTTAGCCAGAAATATGAGTTACTAAACCAACTAATCTTTTCTTAAAAAAAAGGAGCTTTTTATATTCGTGAGAAAGGCAACGATAACTTACGCGGCCTCGAATTTTTTATTTATAATTTTCTGGACCATTACACAAAAGGTTTTACAACATTACAACGAGGTCTTACGAGTATAAGGTTATACTTAAAAATATACACTACATTGCTTTTATATCATTTGTAATTTTCTGGCAACTTAAGCAGATATAATACACATAAATTTTAAGAAAAAAAAGAAAAATAAACCCGAGTGTTAAGCAATATTAAGGAATTTACTGAAGGATCTTCGCAAATAATAACTCCATAACTCACACACAGTAATTAATACTTTTTCACACATACATACTTTGTGTTTAAATTTTTGATAGAGATTTGTGTTTATACTCATTTTTTTTCTGTGCGGAAATCCTCTCGGATACCAGCCACCGGTGGCTATGTCGGACTCGAACCAATTAAAAACTGCACGCCGTCTCGGGTACCAGTAGCCGGGGAACCAAGAGTAACCTAGAAAGGAAAGCCCTGGTAACCCGACGTACCTCGGGCTGGCTGGTTGGAATGACCCCCTCCTGTGTGGAAACCCCTATGTTCCCTTTGTGCTCCCGACAGGGCGCGCGCGTATCGCAAGCATAACTTGCTCGCAGAAGGAGACGACAGAGTTCCACGCACTCTCGCTCCGAACCATGGCCGCAATTATGTTTTCGAGCGAGAGAACTCCCACTCCGATGGCCGCCATGAGGTCTCGCCTCAGCTGCACCCACGCCGGGCATTCTGCCAGCGTGTGGAGCGCCGTGTCCACGGTCCGGCCACCGCAGTGGTGGCACTCAGGCGTTGACTCCTTGCGGATCAGACACAGGTGATCCACGAAGCATCCTTTCCCAGTCGTCCTGCCTGCCACCTGCGTCCACGTCCACGTCTACCTGCGACAGCCGATATAAGAGGGTCCCGTGACGCCTCTCGAGCCAATGTTCATAAGGGGTCTTCCAGCCGCAATAACGGCATGCCCGGTGCTCGGTTGCCCAAGTCGTTGCTTCCACTCCTCTACGAGGACCCGGTGGAGTTGGAATTTCTGGTCATCATTTCCGGAGTCACAGGACTCCGACCCAACTACCGCGCCTCCTTGCGCCATTGATACAGAGCCGCAAGGGCTCGAGCCTCCAGGTCCCAGGGTGGAGTTCCGGCCAGAAGACTCGCCGTCTCATAAGACATCGTACGGTACCCCCTTATGACACTGGCAGCCAGCACTCACTGCGGTCGTCGCAGTAGTGTGACTTTGCTGGCCCTCAGGGTCTCTGCCCATACTGGGCTGGGGCCCCATAAAGGGCCATGGACCGAGACACAACCCCCGAGTAGAGTCTCCTGTAGGAGTTATCGGGTCGCCTCACGTTGAGCAGCAGCCGCGCCAATACACGCGCTGCTCCACCCAACTTCGGAAATGATATCCGAAGTCTGGAACCAGACAACCAGTGAAGTCCCATTGCCATCGAGTACGAGCCCCAGATACCTCCTCGAGTCGATGTCGATGCGAGTGCCTCCTAAGATGAGGCTGGATCCCTCAGGTAGCATCATTCCCCATGAAAGAATAAGGCCTCGGATTTGTGAAGAGCCACCTCAAGACCCAGCCGCCGGTTTCGCTCAACAACTTGGGCAACCCCGGCCCTGGCCCTCAGGGTTGCCTCACGGTGCGTTGCCTACGCCGTCACGAGTGTGTCGTCTGCGTAGCACGTGACGGACATCCAAGAAGGCACCACAAAGCACCCAGTCGTAGCCGATGTTTCCAGTGGCCCTATTACCGACCTCTGTGGAACACAGCACGACATTTCACGTCTACCTAGACCGGTCCTAGTTGGGTAGACGACTGCTCTCTCCGACAAAAAGTTTTCGTTCTCTTTGCAGTGCTTTTGTCCTAAGTATGTAGTTTGCTCCTTTAGTGTCTAAATACACTAAGTTAAAGGTACGAAACCGAAGTCCCGCGTCTGATTTTACGGTTCGACGTATTCAGTTGATATGACACACCATAAGCGCGGAAATTATACGACAGAAATTCATAGTAGTGTCGTGTAGTGTTGTCTAAAACAGACGGAAAATAAAGTGATATTATAAGGGTTCCGTTATTCTTTTGAGGCGGAATGACGCCGGCCTGCCTTCTCCCCGCTGACTCCCGCTCTGGTTCACCCCTGGCAATCGAATAGAACTTCAAAAAGTTCGGCTGTACTCTATAACTCGTCGTAATTTCGGTAACTTCGATAGCGTATGGTGTACTTAGACACTTAAGGTTCAATTCAAGCCTTTTTCGTGCTATACGGCTATTGCGATAATAGTGAGACTTAGATTCAGACTCAGATGATTACATCGGTAGACATACATGTCTACTGATGTCGCCGAACAACACTGACTGCAACATCTCGAGAAACATAAACATACGCAGCCTACGTTAGACGTCAGCCGCGCGCGTCCATCGCAGACCTCGTAAACGTCACAATACATTTTCTTACTCTGACTATTGTCGTAGCGGCATTGTCAGCAACACGCGATCAATCGCAGACTGCGGCGATCGGCCGCGATGCACAGAAAGGAACCTTTAGTAGGCTCTTACTGTGGTAAGAGCCGACTAAATGTTTAATGAATAGGGGTGGTGACACTCCGTATTCTTAATTCGTCACCACACGGATGTCGCATTTAGTAATATATTGTAAAAATGTGTGTATGTATATATTGTAAAATTGTGCTAACGGAAGGTTAGTATACTTTATAGTTCAGGTCTTACATTTTAAGTAACAGCTATAGATAAATTGTAAAAAAATCTTATGGCCATAAATAAGTAATTTATAATTTGTATAATATATGCTATAATTAACTCCTACATCTGAGGGTAGAAATATTTTTATATTATAATTTATCATGATAAAAGCAAATTGAAGTCGGTGATACCATTTTTATTGACTTCAATTTGCCTAAAGCGTGATAAATTATAATATAAAAAAAAAACTACCTTCAGATGTAAGTACAACTGAATCTAAGGAAAAAATATTATTGAAATAGTTTGACAAACGGCAGAGATATTTAGTCTAATTGCAACACTCCACCGAAGTAACCCCAGCATTTCCAGCGCATTCGAATAAAAGTAAACAAAAGACACATGAACATAAAATGAATCTTTGGTCATAACAGAATTACAGAATTAAAAACAATAAGGAGAGCTATTTCAAGAAAACCGTCTTTTGTATTTGCCATATTTTAAAATAAAACATGTAAAAAAAACTTCGGTAAAAGCAAACTTCAATAATTTCAACGAACAAAAAGCATTAAAAACAACGCAGAAACGATAGCTCAGTACTGGAAATCTAGATTCAGATTTCCCAGGTATTCCCAGGCCAGCGATCAATAGTTCCCGCCTATCCCGCGCGTTCTACTACGCAGACGCGGCCGCCATCTTAACAGGACGGACCAAGATAAGCCGGGACTCGGTCTATGCAGCGTTAAAAACAAAACATTGTGTGTTTGAGTTTAGTAAAATGACATCAGAAAGAGATTCAGAAGGTACGTAAAATATAATTACATAATTATGTATTTTTCTTTCTTTGGATGTTATTTAATATGTGGTTTTATTGTTTGTTGCAAGGTTTGCATGTAGTACCTCTGCGAATTTTATTTTATTTTTAATTATGACATGATTTGGTGTAATTGAAGTGAAATTTAAAATAAGCATGTTTTCTAAATTAAGTAGTGTAGAAATACAAAGTTGTTTACGTATTCTTCTGGATTTAAAACATAATTCAGTTGACACAAGTTTTTGACAAGCGTAGAACCGTTTAATAATGTAATTAAGATACCGTATCTATTGCTACTGTCAAAGAAAAAACAGTTTTTTCTAATGGCAAGATTTCTTACTATTTATAAGTACGTTATATGTGTTACGTATACATTGGTTTTCTTTCTTATCGTTAGTTTAGTATAATATTTCTTCTTTGAAATCAGTGAGTGGCTCTGTCGTTCAAAATATAACTTGTTGATACTGCATTAGCATGCGATCTTGTATAGGCTTAACTCAAAATATTTGGTTATAGTGAATGTTTAGAAAAGGTTGTTGTATTGTTGACGATTTAAAGAACTGTTGTAGAACACTATTGTAGCAAAACCTCTCAGTTTTTGTAATAGAAAATAAATAGAAGAAAGTGTAATGTAACTTGAAAATCAAATTGGTAAATTTTAGGCTAGTCAAAATTTACCATTTTGATTGGAAATCAAAATGGTAAATTTTGATTTTGAAATCAAATTGGTCAAGTGGGTGGTTCGACCAATATTGTGTGATGAGCACGATAATTTGTTCTGTGTCTGGGTGTAATTTATCTATAATATGTATGTATTTAGAAATATATAAGTATGTTTATCAGCAGTCTGGTTACCATAACACAGGCTCTGCCTAGTTTGGGATCAGACGGCCATGTGTTATGTTTATTATATTATCTTGACTTCTGAGCTGAGTGTAAGGTGAGGTTGAGAGGTGAGTTCGATTCTCACCAAGGACCAATATCTGTACATGATTATTTGTCTATGTCAATTATAAAATTGTAATATATATGTACTCGAATGTTTATCAGCTGTCTGTTCACCACTGTACAGGCTCTGCCTAGTTTGGATCAGGTGTCGTTTTTGGATTGTGGTGAATTATTTATATTTTATTAGCCGTACACAAAAAAACGTTTGGCCATCAGTGCTATTAAGAACAAAGTTGGACTACTAACTTTGGTAATTTACTAATTAATCTTAAATTAATAATTCTTGATACTTACCTAAGCTTTTAATACTAGTGTATATTATTTTATACTTTTGACTTTTATAAAGTATGTTTACAGTATACAGTGACTTTAGTTTCATAATATCATAGATTAGAACTAAGTTTTTGATAATATTGGATTTGAAATTTAAATGTAAATAATAAAAGCCAAAATCGATCTAATTGGCGTGCAATGTGAGAGGCCTATGTCCAGCAGTGGACTGCGATAGGCTGATGATGATGATGATGATGAATAAAGTTAAGTTTTATATTAAATTACGTATTTACATGAGGTTGAATACCTCTGACTGAACTGACTTGAACTGATAGCTGTCAGCTTCCTTATAAGTTAATGGTGTAATGTGCCTGGCTGATGTCAATCACATGATACCTAATAGTTAGAAATTAAGCAATTTTGGGGCTACAGCAGTAGTATCTACAACTACCTCCATGCATGCCGAGGGTCACTAGTTTGATTGCCGTTTATTACAAATATTTTTTTACATTTACATTACAGTCAACGTTGGATATTTAATAATTTACCTAAATTAATTAAATACCTTTTAAGACAGTTATAAGATGGAGAGTTGATCGGAACTGAATTGTGACCGAACTTTTATTCCAAATACTGGCCTTCTGGTTTCTTTGTGTCTATAGAGTATATATTATATGTGTGTATATATACAATCTATGTATACCTTTATGAAAATATTATTATCATCTATCGGTTAGAGGCATTCCGGCGATAAACAATTGGAGTTTGACTGACTGACTTTTCTAACCGATTATTGCCCAACCCATCTTTATACCTCCAATCTACCCATCTAACCCCCAAAGTATCAGTTTAATGGAAATAAGGCATATGGCAATATGGCAATTTTGTCAAAATTTATAAAATTACTATATAGTTGACCCAGCAAACGTTGTTCTGCCATATTTGTTTATACAAAAATGTGTTCATACAAAAATACTAAAATCGCGATAAAAATTGGAGTGAAAAATACTTTATGACTAGTTCTCATACCTTACAAATAAAGAAGAAAAATTTCATTAAAATCGGTCCAGCCGTTTCGGCGGAGCACGAACATGAGATATTTAAATGTTAGCTATGAATATGTAAGTTTTTAATACCTTTTTGCTTACTCCTTTGGGGCTATAGACCTGTATGTATGCATGTATGTGGTTTGATATAAAATATTTTTTCCATATTATATACTCGTATTGCTACTCTACATTGACTGCACGGATGGCATAGTGGTTTAAGCGGTTGCCACGCCGCTTCCTACTACGCCGAGTGTTGTGGGTTCAAACCCCACATGGGACGACACTTTGTGTGATCCACAAATTGTTGTTCTGAGTCTGGGTGTTATTTGTGTCCGTTTCATGTATGTTTGTAAAGTCTACCGCGACACAGGAATATATACCTAATGCGGGAGTTGTCTTTTTTAAAAAAGAAGAAAAGAAAAAAAATGTTCATGCGCTATGACAAATGTTGTAAAATAGAATGGTCAAAATTTTTTGCTATATGGAATATCAGTTCCATTTATGAGCAAATTCCATGGTCATGATCAAACAGTATCGAATTTTATTAACTTAATAATATATTAATGTTATAAATACATACACACACTACATCCTAAAAGAGGTAAGCAGAGGTGGGATTATCAAACGCATTTTGGTTACATACCAACTATTATTTGGTCCCATCATCATCATCAATGGTCTATACTAGCCCACTGCTGGACATGGGCCTCTCCTACACAAGTCACAAGGAGTAATCTTATTGCCCTCGACTGGGCACTAGGCTTTAGAGTCATATTCTTTTGAGTGATTTAAGTAAGTGTCACGTTTATACGTTAACAATAAAGGAACTTCTGTCATTCCTAAATATATTTTGACCCTTTAATGAAATATATCCTAATATTATAAAGAGGTAAAGCTTATGAATGAAATTGTATGTACGGGGTAATCTCCTATACTACTGATCTGTTTTTGAAAATTGTTAAACTGTTAGTTAGGTAGGTATATTATCCCTGAGTAATAAAGACCACTTTTTACCGCGATATCCGCAATACAAGTATCCGAAGCCGAGGCCAAAACCTAGTAAATAATTTTAAAAAAATAGAGAGACAACAACATGTACTCTAAAAGTATTTACTCGCAGTAATAAAAACACTGAGGCTAGGAAAGATTCGCACTCAACAAAAATAAGTACAATGCTAACAAAAAAACACATACCTTTGTATATTATTCGTTAAAAGTATACAATTAAATTTGAATATCGAATCCTAATATTAGAAACACATAATTCTATATACAACAATGTCTATGACAATAACAATATTTACTCTAAAATGTCGTAAAAACTGAGGCTAGAAAAGATTTTAACACATTAAATAAAATAAAAAACAAGGCTAATAAATAATTAAAAAAAAGAAATTGCTTACCTATGTCACTCTTAACTTATTCATGAATTTTGAATATCAAAGCCAAAAACTAATCAAACCGTTTTTCAGCGTCCGAGGTCATGCTCGAATCAATAGACGAGCTTAAAGAGAGGCTTTCATCCATGAAGCGCCTGATGGAAGAACGGAAGGCAGCAGGTTCTGGCACCAAGGAACTATTCCACGGTGAAGCCAGGAGCCTGCGAGGCACCACCATGATTGACGGCAACTTCTTAAGTTTTGTCTTCGGCGGTATCTTTATCGTTATTATTAGTGTATCTGTTTACGCTATTTATAGCCTATACATTGCTTTACTCAAAAAATTCCCGTCTGTCCACACCGAACTGTAAACTGCAATATATCTTATTGTGACTTGGTTAAGGTTCATTTTGTGGCAAACCGTTTGAATGTAGACTAAATAAAAATAAAATAAAATAAAAGACATTTCTTTTACAACTAAATTATTTTAACAATATTTAATATGATCATGTTTTTATATTGTAATGAAATGTAGGTATAATCCTAAACTTAATTATGATTAATAATATCAGTTAAATTTTATTATCATCACAATAAATAATATGAATAATTGTATGTAATTTATTTTTTAACTTATTTTTTTGTTTATTAGGAACAAAAAACAGTTACATGTTAAAGTCTTAAAGCTATATATAAATACTAGCGGACCCGACAGACGTTATCCTGTCAAATTTGACACTGCTATGGTAGCGCCGTCTGTCTGATCCAATGTAAAACATTCCAAAATCAACAACTACTAATAAATTAAAAATTAATTAAAAAAACATTGTCCAGCGGACAAAATTGTGAATCTAAACCATTCCCAGATCCCCTTGAACACACACAAAAAATTTCATCAAAATCGGTCCAGTCGTTTGAGAGAAGTTCAGTGACATACACACTCACAGAAGAATTACATATATAAAGATATTACGGAGGTATAAACACATAACCCACACCATTGTTCACGGATTAATAAGAGGAAATTTGAATGAAACAAATCAGAACATTACTGTAAATGCGCATGAGCGCAGACACTAGGTGCTTATATGTAAATGTACAAGCACGATACATTACACTTAAGTTCAGATCTAAGAAATACATATGATACAATATATTCGCATTCTATTCAGTTGGCAAGGCGGTTAATAATTTAATGCGCAACATTTAAATTGGTTTTTAGAAAGAGCAAAGATATCAATGTCAGAGAAATTAGAGACTTAGGAATATTATTGAAGGATTAATTTATTTAATACAATATTATTTTAAGCATACAGTGTTGAATATAACGTGCATGTATTTAAATAATTATTTTAAAATAATAATTAAGTAGTGGTCGCCTTCTTGACGTAGAATTCCCCAATTTGTAGGCCCCAGTACTGCCTACCTCTGGCCATGGTCATCCAAGTACCAAAGCCAGAGAAGGACCTCCTTGTCTTGTGATCAATACATCTGATAAACATCTTCTCTGGCATCCTCGTGATCTTTTGCAGTTTTCAGGCATCCACGTGATCTTTATCGTCCATCTCTTGGCTTGATCCTGGAATAGTTCCTTGGTGACAGAACCTGCTGCCTTCCATTAGGTGCTTCATAGATAGTATGCTGTCTTATAGCTCGTCCATTGATTCGAGCATATCGTCAGATGCTAAAAACGGTTTGATTATTTTTTGATTCGATATTTACAATTTATAAACGATACGTTCATACTTATAATACAAGAGTGTCATAGGTAAGCAGTTGTTTTTTTAAATAATTAATTAGCTTTGTTTTTTCTTTTATTGTGTGAGAATCTTTTCTGGCCTCAGTTTTTATGACTGCGATTGCATTTTTTCTTTTATTCTTCATATCTTTAAAATATCAATGTAAATTGAGGAATGACAAATTTCCAGTATTTTTACCTATAAATGCGACACCTTCTTTAATCACTGAAAGGATATAACCGTAAATCCTAGTGCCATGTAGGCAAAAGGTTGCTTCCTATGTGTAGACCAAATTACAGTTGTCAAAATGTGCTTGTTAAACATACTTCTGCCTACCCCTTTGAAGATGCAGTGTGTGTGTTTATAATTTTTATAAATATATAATTACTAAAATATTACTAATATATTACTAAAATTTGATACTGTTTGATCACGACCATGATACCACTCACCGGTGGCAATGTCGGACTCAAACCGACTTAAACCGCACGCCGTCTCAGGTATCAGAAGTCGGGGAACCAGGTGTACCCTAGAAAGGAAATCCCTGGTGCCCCGAATTATAGAATAATGACGGCGAAACATAGTGCGTCCCTGCTAATTTTAAGTAAATTACATCATACCCTTAGGTAACCTTTGTTCACAAAATAAAATTAAAATTAAAAAATATTATATGCTTACATTAAGTACTTTCATAGCTATAAATCTTAAAAATTAGTAAATTAGTAAATTGCCATAATTAGGGATCAGATTTAAGTTTTAAAAGCACTGAAATCTATAAGGTTTTCTTATACGGCTATAAAAAAAATCACAGTCCACTGCTGGACATAGCTCTTGCCCATTGCACGCCACTTAAATCGATTTTGGACTTGTCGTCACCAGGTTTTGCCAGCCATCTTGCGCAAATGCCTGTGGGCATCCTGCACTACGTTCATAGAGACGAGGTCTCAACTCAAGTAGTCCATCCATCTTGCCACAATCCAAATCCAATAAGGGGGCAAACGAGTAGTCTGGTCACCTGTGGTAAGCAACTACCGCCGCCCATGGACACCTGCAACTCAAAAGTCACAAGCTACAAGTGGGATTTGGGCTCCGGTAACCTCACTCACTCAGTGAAAGGCAACGAAAGAATTGCTTAACACCGGTTTTCTGTGAGGCCGTGGTATCACTCCGGTCGAACCGGCCCATTCTTGTCGAAGCATGGCTCTCCCACGGTAGGTAGAGCCAATGGTAACCAGACTGCTGATAAACATACTCTAAATACTGCAAAATTAATCATTTTTATCACACAATTATTTGACCTAATTGGAAATCGAACCGCTCACCTCTCGACCATTGGATCAACTGGCTAGTCAACGTATATTTATATATTTTTTGGAGGCTTCCTAGTAACCGAAATAACTAGTATTCCCGTTAACCCCTCCAGCTAAGCTAAATTGCTTGTGTTAGGAGTGGGTTCACGTCGGTCAGGATTCGAACCCACGACCTCTTGATCGCAAGTTTTAACCACTAGGCTACCGCCGCTTCAATGCCAAGTTATATCACACTACCACACAGCAAAATTAATAGTTCCCTTTGTGACTCTGCTCTCCATTACATAATAATATACACCACGCGGATGTACATTGATATTAAATACATCCGCGTGGTGATAGATTAAGAATAGGGAGTGTCACCACCCTTATTCATTCCATGGGTATCATATGAGCCATCTAAGGGAGCAAACTCCGCAGGACGATAGCACTGCGAGGAGAAGGAAAACTTGATACAAACGCCATACTAACCCGTCTGGCCAGATTTAGTAGGCCAAAACCTTTTTTCCAAGAAGAGACCTATGACCAGCAGTGGAGTATTAAAGGCTGTTGATGGTGATGTTGATGTTCTCTATTTAAAAAATTGCTATATTTTACTGCAACTGTTTTCTATAACAGTTTTTTAAATCACAAACAATACCTACAATAACCGTTTCTTAGCGTTCACTATAAGCGTGTATCTTAAGTTTAATTTTACTATGGTTATAAACACATAATTCTATTTACAACAATGTCTTTATGGCAACACTAATGTTTACTCTAAAAACTAAGGCTAGAAAAGATTTTCACACATTAAATAAAATAAAAAACAAGGCTAAAAAAAACACGTGCTTATCTATATCACTCTCAACTAATTCATAAATTTTGAATATCGAATCCAAAAACTAATCGAACCGCTTTTCAGCGTCCGAGGATATGCTCGAATCAATAGACGAGCTAAAACAGAGGCTTTCATCAATGAAGCGCTTGATGGAAGAACGGAAGGCAGCAGGTTCTGGCACCAAGGAACTATTCCACGGTCAAGCCAAGAGCCTGCGAGGCACCACCATGATCGACGGCAACTTCCTAAGTTTTGTCTTCGGCGGTACCTTTTTCGTTATCGTTAGTGTATCTGTTTACGCCTTTTATAACCTATATTTCGCTGTATTAAAAAAATTCCCATCTGTTCACACCGAACTGTAAACTATAATATATCTTATTGTGACCATGTTAAGGTTCATTTTGTGGCAAACTTTGTGAACGTAGACAATACTCTTTATTAAATGATTAAAAATTGATTCAATTCCATATTTGTTTTTTTGTTCGCTGATTAAAGAGAAGAGACGAGAACAATGATTTCAGCTTTTTTAGGCAGAGCTTAGTACTTAGAGATATCGGATTTCTTAAAAAGATTTGGATTGCATACATTTGAACAGACGAATAGCACTGCAAAGAGAAGGGAAACTTGACACAAACCCTAAACTAACCCGTCTGGCCAGCGTGGTATAATCGGCCAAAACCTCCTTCCTAAGGAGAGTCTTATGTCCAGCAGTGGACTATAAAAGACTGTTGATGATTAAACATATTATGTAGAAAAATTAAAAATAAAGTATAAATTTTTATCACACTTTTTAATAAATCTGTAGAATGACAGGTCAAGTATATGGAATTAAATTTAAACTCAACCTTCAAAGCGGTTAAAAATTAACAGCTTATTGAATTTTCTTCAATTTTCTTCACTTGTTAATGTATTGATACACACCGTAAAGTGCGTATGTTTATCTTTACATTATTGTGTTTGAAACTAAGCAACACAAAATACCAGTGGTACTATAAACGAAGCAATGAACAGAAAGTCAATTCTCGTAATGAAAGTTCGGTCTCAATTTAGTTCCGATCAACTTTCGATCTCACAACTGTCAAAAACGGTATTTTCGTAGTAAAGTGTCAAAAATCCAACGTTGACTGCAATGTTTATATCGTATTGTAACTGAAAATTGAATTGGTAATCTGCTAGTCTTAGCAATACTTATTTTACTACGAAAATACCTTTCATGAATGTTGTGAGAGCGAAAGATAATCGGCACCGAATTGAGACTGAACCGTTATCACGAGAATTGGCCATCTGTGCTAAGTGCGTAGCACTGTTACACTACGCGCGTACCATCACTGCCCTACGAACGAAGCACCGCAGCACCACGAGTGTAGCATGAGGGTGAAATTCAATAAGAAGCATGAGCCCATCGACAGGGTAAAGGGAGATGACGGTCCAAGTACCGCAGACCACTCGGGCGCCTGAGGTCGCAAAACGACCTCCGTCCTCCATAAGCGCAGGCAGACGCTGGGGGTGACAGGTGAGGCCATTTCTCACCCTAGCAGAAGCAGACCGGTATGGCGGCGAGACGCGCTGCTGAGCGCGTGCGCCCTTTTTTGAGCACAAAGGAAATATGGGGGTTCGGACACAGGAGGGGGTCAGCTACACGCCGTGGATGGCCCGAGGTACGTCGGGGTACCAGGGATATCCTTTTCAGGGTACACCAGGTTCCCCGGCTGCTGGTACCCGAGACAGTTTGAGTCCGACATAATCACCCCAACGGTGGTTGCTATCCGAGGGTAACTCCGCACAGGAAAAAAAAACAAAGAAAAAAGGGTGAAGGGAGATGATTGGTAAAACTCTTGTAACATAATTGATCTTAGAACTTTTGTAAGACTGATATCTATTTGTAATAAATATTTTGGGGACAAGTGAGTTAATTTCGGACTTGACGTGGGATATTTCTGACTCCGGAGTCAGAGTTGTAGGTTTCAGTATCTGGGTGTTATCATCATCATCATCCTCAACAGCCTTTTTCAGTCCATAGCTGGACATAGGCCTCTCCTTAGAAAGGAGGTTTCGGCCTACTGTACCACGCTGGCCAGACGGGTTTCTCTTTGCAGTGCTGTTTTCCTGAATAGTTTGCTTCCTTAGTCCATTCTCCGTATTCTTAAACCGTCACTACACGGACGGACTAAAATTTGTAAGCATTTTAAAATATGTAAGTATGTAGAGTATGTAAAATATGTAATTATCAGTAGCCTGGGTACCTTAACAAGGGCTTTGCTGAATTTGAGATCAGACGCACATGTGTTGGATATGTCAAGTTTTTTGTTGCTTTAGGGCCAACGAACAGACGGGTCACCTGATGGTGTGTAACTACCGCCACCCAGTCTCTACATTTTTTTTTTTTTTAAATCCTACTCCTTTTTGAAGTCGGTTAATAAGGATTTTTACCATAAAACGAATCCCTAAAACATTCTTTTGTTTTATTCTACCATTCAACTTCTGTTAAGCTTGTACCCGTGCAAATATAAAACTGAAAACTTTTATTCGTGCGCAAATAATATTTCTGTTCTAACACAGCCACGTGTGACCTACTATCGTAAACCTTAAAATTTTGTTGTCAAACACTGCACCCTGTGGAATACCGCTACAGTACGTAAACGATATGCAATTTTTTTCAAAAAACAACTTTTACCCATCTACTTACAGTTGAAAATCCTTTAGCTCTGTTGAAATTTAATTTTCTCAAATTGCGCCACATAGTTCTCAATAAATGCATTATGCATGTCTGTCTAATGTTCAGCTCAGTGTGAACATTCCGAATACTCTGGTCGATGTTTCGTCATTTCATATTCAGTCTGAATTTTGAATAGAATTTAAGTCAATGCATATTCTGAATAGTTTTAAGTAGTATTTAAATATTGTAGTTGTACCGAGAATGTCCATGTGGCGATTAATTAAGAATACGGAGTCGACTATAGAAGCAAACTACGCAGAACAACATCATTGCAAAGACAAGGAAAACCTGACCCAAATACCCACCCGTCTGGCCAACGTGGTATAGCAGGCCGAAACCTCATTTATAAGGAGGTCTATGTCCAGTAGTGGACCATTAAAGATTGTTGATAATGATTATCGAGAATGAAAATTATAGGGTTTTACTCTCGATGTATGTTGTTAAGTTTTTATGTTTACTTCAATTAATATTTCTGATCTACAAGCCAATTATCACAAAATACTATATAATCTCCCTAGTGGTTTAGATTTATTTCCTTAATATTTTATTTTACGTTAAAAACAAGCAATATCTTTTATCTTTTTAGCAACTATTTATACAGTTGTATTTAGTGCTTGATTGTACTAAATATCTATCTAAGCAGCCTGTTGCACCCACCGCTGGATATAGGTCTCTTCTTTCAGGCGGTTTTGTGCCAGCCGGATCCATTGCTCTCCTACCGCCCTCACAATGTCGCCTGACCTTTGGGCAGGTGGCCTACCTGGAGGCCCCGCATATCTCATGGGCACCATTGGGTAACTGCCTTAGTCCATCGGTCGTCGTTCCATCATGCTAAGTGCCCTGTTCATCTCCACTTAAGCCTCGCAATCCGTATACCCACATCCTCGACTTTGGTGCGGCTTCTAAATATAATGAAATAAATATAATAAAACTAAATATAATGAACTTAAAACCAATATTTTTGAAAATAAAACTAAGACAGTTCGAGGATTTCAACTATTCGTCTGATGTAACGAGAAGAATTTGAATTGAACAAATCTAAATCAGTCAGACTTCCAAGTTTGTTTATGGAGTCAGACGCTCTCACAAAAAAATGATTTATTTTGGTAGTTTGCTATGCTTCTGGGAATACAAAGAGGACATCGCCTCCTGCCAATCTAACCGATCTGGAAGTGACTCTTAACTGCAACTTATCGAACAGATAAGGAGAATCTACTTTTGCCTACGCTATTTTCCTTATTTTGTGTAGTGACAAAGGGTGATGTCTTCTACATATTGCGTCCTAGCTTCAATTGCAAATAGCTCGTGAAAAAAATATATTTATGATAAACATATATATTAGGACACGCGTTTGTTACCCAGTTGTGGTGGTGTGATAGCATCTGCATAGATTGGGAAATTTATTTTATCGAACCTCTCATAAAAATGGTGTTTCTATTAATTTTCTGGTCGGTTTAGGGTAAGGCTGAACAAGTCTTCAGAGTAAATGTGTCTATCCTTTTACTCGGCAAGAGTCAAATAATCCAGAGTTTCCTTACACCAGACCTTTTTCTATATTTAAATCCCCAAAATCGGATAATTTTAGATGTTAATTAAATATTAATATTGATCATTTCAATTTAATACAATAACTTTTAAATAATGTATCGTCAAAGTAGATATAAACAATCAGAATAGCCAAGAGGTTTACTCTGATAAACCTGTTCTCCAGGCAGAATGCTAAACGCGTCAAAGTCTACCATCGCAGTAGCTGTTTACTTAGGAGCTAAGTAACAAATGTTTGTTCACCTGCAGCGTAGTTCTGCAGTAATTATATTCCTGTATATTAAAGGCAAACGGGAACATTTAGTCAGTTTTAATACTCTTAGTGTACCGTGGTATTACGTGGTATTTATGCTATGAAATCTAATGAGTTGATGTTTATGATGTTGGTAAATGTACTTTCTAACTTTGTTGTTTCAAGTTTTCCTAGAAGTAAGTGAGTCTAAACCCCTTTCAAAGGAGAGGCCTATGTCCTACAGTGGACTATTAAAGGCTGTTGATGTGTGATCTGAACTGAAGCTAAATAAAGATCAAAACGAATCATCTGATGATTATAGTACACAAGAAACACGCAGACTCAGAACAATAATTTGTGGATCACACGAAGTGTTATCGGATGTGGGGATCGAACCCACAACACTTAGCGCAGTAGAAAGAGAAGAGGTTAGCGACGCTTTAACCACTATGCCATCCGTGCAGTCAAAGTGTGCAATTTAACCACAATTAGAGGATTCGATCCCGGTCGATTTTTATAATCCCGGGATTTCGGGATTATCTACAGTTAATCTCGGGATCCCGGGATAGTCCCGGGATTGTTTTGGCAATGGAAAGTGGTAACAAAAAGACAGTAAAACATATCAAAATATTTTTTTTGTTTATCATTTAGTTTAGTGAGGACATAGAATATTTAAGTTTTAAATCTCCAAAAAGGCGGTTAAACAAAATTATATTTTCTTCTTATAAAATAAACAAACTAGTGCCTAGTTTGTTTTGTGTTTCGGTAAATATTTATGAAACTAACAATAAACTTCAAAAAATCAACTTCTTTAGACTTAGATAAACTATAAAAAAACTATATGCTTAAGAGACCTATGTTTATAGATA